GCTTCCACTCTACTTGAGAGGAATGAAACGAGAGGAGTGCGTGGCACCAACACCAGGACGACCGTGCATGACGGGCTTGTACGTCATGGAGAACTCGCCAAGGTAGTGTCCAATCATCTCACCCTTAATCTCCACCGCGTTGAACTGACGGCCGTTGTAGATACCGACCACGGAGCCCACCATTTCGGGTGTGATGACAACATCACGAAGGTGCGTCTTCACAGCCCTTGGCTTCTCACCAGCCCTCACGTCCTTCTTCGCCTCGCGCAGGCGCTTCAGCAGCACGGGAGCACGAATGTCAGCGTGGCGGTTCATGTGACGACGGGCGCGAGCATGAACCAGGGTCTTGAACTCCTCCTCGGAGAGGGCCAACAGTGGGTCAATCTCAAGTCCACGGTACGTGAACTTGTGGAATGTACGCTCCTTCTTGAGCTGCTCGTAGCGCTCCTGGGTGATGTTAGCCGTCATACTGCCCTTGTAGGATGCTATTTGGAATATTTTTTATTTTGTGTTAGGTACGATGTACAAGGAATATGAAGAAAAACCAAAAAGAAAAAAAAAACATGCAAACGATTCTGTGAGTGTTTATACAGAAAAACCATTAGATAATCGCAAGAATGAGCCAACTGGGTGTGTTTCTAGGAATGTGCATTAATAGCATGTTTTCATTTTACCGACCGAGTCCATATCAAAGTGTGGGTTTTATTGTTTGAGGCAAATAAACGTCTATGATTCATGATGATTTGTATAATTTCTAGGACATTTATAAATCAAAATATTATACCTCACCCTTCGAGTGTAGTCACGGTGTGCGGTGGTACTACACGGTTATTAAGCCCATTTGAGGAAAAACAAAAAAAATCGTAATGACCTTATTGTTTGCTATTCCTCTGCTTCTTACGTACCGTGCAAAAGTAAGCAGTCATCATGATTTAAAAAACAAAAAAAATGCAGTGAGTTAAAGATAAGAACAAAACATTTAAAAAGGAATAATAATAATAACGGCCAAAAAAAGAAAAAAAAAATTCCAACACCCCGCCAATAATACTCCAAAGACCAGCAACACATCACCAGAACATTGAAGGCATGTGACGCGAGTACCCATCATTTAAGGACCAGGTGTACAACACCACAAATATGAGTTCGGACGCCCGTAACCAAATCCAATTAAGCCACATTTTACATGCTAGCAAGAGAACAGAAGTAAGGGCACACATAAGGGAATACAAGCAATCACACAACTAAGTCAGATTCAACAACTGCCACATATATATATATATATATGCATTAATAACTATAACAAAAACTATAATAATCCATATCTCATGCTTGAAATAGGAAATTTACTGACGTTTAATGCCAGAAAAACCACTAAATAAAGTTGCCTGAGATATCAAAAAGGGGCCCATGGTATATCTGATGCAACGTTTTAACCATATGCAAAGCCCCCCCCCCCAAAAAAAAAAAAACGCACTTGTCACAAGAACAGTGGGAAATGCAAAGGGCCGGCGTCAACAAACCCTCAACCCCAACCGAAAAAAACACAAACAAAAGCAACTATTTCCCTAAAATGACTCCCCTTACTCCGTTGCGCGAGTAAAAACAATAAAAAAAGGGGGGCGACTCTGCCGATCCCGTGCTCGCCTGCCAATGATCCCTCGGAGGCTGCTCCCCCGCCCTTGCTTGGCTCCGCGGGGGCTGGAGCGCCGGTGGCGTTCCTCACAGCCCCTCTCGCCGGCGCCCGCCGTCTTATTTACTACCTTCGTGTCTTCGGTCGGAGAGGGCAAAGCAAAACAAGACAAAAGAGGCAGGTAGGCAGCGGCGAACAGTTCTGCCGAGCTGGCGGCGTTGTTGTTTACATTTTAATTATTATCCCCCCGTTTTCGTTTCGGCGCGCCCAGGCGTGCCTCCCCTGTGGGACCGCGGCACAAAAGAAAAGGACGAAATAATAATAATAATCCGCGATGGCGGTGGGTGGGGTGACCTCCCGTTATTTTGAGGCCGACTCGTCAAGACGCCAAACCCGCTCAACAGCACCAAGGTACTCGCGCATTAGGCTATCAATGGTGTCGTCACTGCCTTTTTGTGTTTTAGCTTTCGCTTCGCCGTGGTTGACGGCCTCGTCGGGTTGTGTGAAAAACCGCATCCCCAACTCCTTTTGTGTGGGCTTCCCCATCCAGTCGTCGGCGTCGTTCGACCGCAGCGCACCCAGCAACTGCCCAATTTTGTCTTCTAGTGACGGCGATGGCGTCTGTAGTTCTCCCTTGGTGGCGGCCTCCGCTTTCCCGTGTTCGGCCGGGCTCGCCTCTTGGCCATCCATTGCTTCCAACAAAGCCCTCATATCCGCCACGAGTTCTTTTTCCGTCATGTCGGCGCACGCGAGAATACGCACACACACACACACGAAAAAAAGAAATTCCTCTGTCTATTTGCTGTGTTTGCTGCGGGTGCCACCTTGACCAAGTTTATGCCTCTTCCCTTTCCTGCTTTTTGTGTCCGCCGTCGTAATCCGAACGGAGCGCGGTTAGGTTATATTATGGGTATCATAACATTAAACAAGGAGTAAAACAACACAAAACAAAAAAATACACAAAAGCACAGGCGTAATACCGAGGACAAAACAATATACGTATATCCCCCACAACCACCACCGCCAAAAGAAAAATAAAAATAAAATAATAATAATATTTTTGTTTAAAACTTGCAACGCGATGCCCAAAGTGAATTTTCACAGGTTCAAAACGGCGCAAACACATATCTGGTTTATGTAGGTAGGCGTGTGCTTGTCTATTGTTAAAGCCCGTCCAGTTGAACAACGCATGTGACGGATCCCTAAAGCACATGGAATGAACAGCAACAGCATCGCCTTCACAGCAATCTGCTTATTTTGCCCCTTTCTATGAGTCTCTCCCATATCACCTCTTCTTCCCCATTTATCGTATGTTTTGCAAAAACAAACAAACAAACAAACAAAATCACCTTCTATCCGCGTCCGCCTACTTCCTTTCATTCTGAGGCAGGAATGCACCAAGGCAAGAGGACGCGTTGCCATCCCGGTGCGCAGACAGACGTACACACGCAGACATAAACAAACAAAGACAAAATCATGAGAAATAAAGGAGAGAGAAATTGTCCTCTATGAGGGATGCGAGTTTAAAAGGTCAGATGTGATGAGAAGGGCGGGTGTGCACGATAACGGTGGGAAAATGAATCCTTCCCACCACCTCTTCCAATCCTCATGAGTCAGGGAGAAGTGCAGTAACAAGAGACAAAGGACTACTTTGTAAGTGGTCGAAGGAGAAGTGAGATTTTGTTCGTCTTCTTAATAGACTCCAACGCCTTGGCTCGCAGCGCCTTGCTTGCTGTCGTGAGATCCGTCCCGTTCACCCCATCCACAAGCCAGTGTATACGGCCATCCATGTCCGGTCGCAACGACTTCAAAAACGGATGCGTCTTCAGGGAGGCCGAAATGGGTGGAAGGCGTGTGAGCACCAAGTTGTCTGGGCCCAAAAAAACTTTCATGTCCCATGGTGTCTTCAAATCCGGGCGACGCAACTCCATGTGAGAGCCGTCAAACCGATCTAAAGTAACTGCGTTTTCAAAGGTAAGCGGAGGGGCGTTATTAAGTTCAACTGCGGACACCGATGGGACATTGCTGCTAGCTGCCTGGGCTTCTTCAACTGCCGCAGCTGACTGTAATGCCGCTGGTGTTACCGGCTTCTTGAGTTGCGTTTTCTTCTCCACCTCCGCCGCCAACTTTGAATGGGACTGTATATTTACAAGCGGTGTCTCCAGCACTCCTTGCTCCTTTGCGACCTTCTCAAAAGGAGTTGCCTTGACGTTCATCGCCTCCGTCACCTCCTTCTTCTCACTCTGACTCTTCATTTCTTGCCGTTTCTTCCTTTTTTCTTCCTTGGCCTTCCTCTTAGCTTCTCGCAGAGCCCTTTGCGAGAGCTTTTTCTTTCTGCCACGCGCACCCTTTTTGAAAGCCACCTCACCATGAGGCTGGCCCTTCTTCTTGGGCAGTGACGTCCCCTCCAGCTCCAGCTCCAGCTCCGGCACAGCTGTGGGAGCCTCCTTCACCTCCTCTGGTAGTTCCGATTCCCGCATTGCATCCTCCTCCGCGTTTAACTTCTTCGGGCGACCCTTCTTCTTGGGCAGTGACGCCCCCTCCGCTTCATTAACCTCCGGTAGGGGTTCGTCCGGGTGAATGTTGTGCTCCTCCAATAGTGCTCGGTGTTGGGCCACTTCAGCTTCCTCATCCTCCGCTATTTCACGTTCTTCGTGGGAAACTGCCGCACCTGGTACAGCCTCCAGCGCCTCTTCTGTTTGCCACCTTGCTTCTATCGCTTCAACTTCTTGTTTGGTGGTTGCATCTGACACAAGCTTCTCCACATCGCTCACAACCCGCAGCCGCAGTACCAGGTACAAGGAACTGCGAATCACGTCCATAATAAGGTCACCATGCGTCGCGTCGCACCCATTAACTTGCATAATGACTAGATGTCCGCAATGAGTAGAGAGAAACTTTTTGGCCGCCTTGGAAAGCGGCAGAGACGCGGCAAATCCCTCCAGAAGAAAGACGCTCTCGGCATGCACCTGCATCTGAAGTTGCCACTGCACGTCGGTGGATGGCCGCTTCAAAATGAGTGCTGCTTGCTGTCCAGCAGCGTCTTCCCCTCCCTGTGGGATGATATCAAACGCAATTTCCTGTGGCTCACCCAGTGTTGTCACCTTTGCCACACGTAGTGAAATAACACAACCTGACTGCTGAAGTGTCTTTCGTATATTTTCTAAACGAACGGCCTTTGTGTTGGCGCGGGCCAACTCTGCGTCCTCGTTCCCCTCCGTTTCCTCTCCCTCGGCACCGTCAATGTGAGTGTCGTCGATGTCAAAAATAGGCAGACCCGTCTTTCTTTGCTGAAGAGCATGATACAACGCACCCCCTGCAGCCGTGGCGTTTCGCAGTGCATTTTCCACACCAACCAAGGCGCCTGATGCATTTAGCATTATACCCCACTTGGAGGCAGCATTCGTGCGCTCAATCACAATCCTGCCAGTCAGAGGATCATACAAGGTCACTTTAGCGAATAACTTCTCTGCCGCCTGCGGCTCCTGGTAAAGCGTCGGTGTGGAATGGACTGCCATTAGGCCAAGACGTTCCGGCTGCATCATAAGCACCCAACCTAAAAGATTGTAATATGACTCAACCGTGAGCACCGCCGTTGTCTCATCCACCGTGGCGCTGCTTGGCAGTGGGGTGATGCCATTTTCATTGAAAGGCGTGTTGATGGCCTCAAACGCCGTCACCAACGCCCCTCGAAGTTGCATAAGATCCTGTGTGTTCTTTCTTGTGGCTTCCAGGGCGAGATTTCTCTCCTTTGTACGTGACTTCTCTATGTGAGACTGCCCCTCCAATGTCAGCCTTGCTTCAAGGCGATTGCAGGCCTCCTTGTAAATATCACGCACAATACCAGTCGCGAGTACAGCTGCAAGCGAGGCCACAGCCTTAGCAGAGGCGTTTCGTTCTCCAAAAAAGCTCTCTAGTCGCGTCCCAAAACCCGTCGCCTCCTCATCCGAGCTCAGTGGCACAAGCGCATCCGTATCTCTGGACACAGCACACGAGGCATATGCAAGCATGACAGCTTTTTGTACCGCATAAAGCATTTCTTTGGGGGTAGTGCTAGTTTCCTGTTCAAGCGCATGCCGAAGTTCGCGAAGTACGACGCCCTGCACACGAGACACTTCTGAGCGGTAATGGCGGTCGTGTGCGGGATTCGACACCACCTGGCGGAGCTTCCGATCGTACAACATAAAAGGGGCCATCAGTCGCGCCTTGAAGGCCATGACGGTCGCTGCAGTAGCAACGTCCGAGGTTGCATCCGGTGTAATCCCCCCTTGTATCTCGCCAACCGAGTCCTCCGAGGCCATGGCGGAAGATGCAGGGCGCCCACCGGATTTCTTGGATCGATACATCGCTGCCAAAGAAAATCTGATGACTGGCAAATAATATGTTTTCCCTTGCTTTAGTTAACCAAAGAAGCGACACTTTAAGAGGTTGAAAAACAAAAAGTAACCATGAAACAAAAAGGACAAAACACAAAGAAAATCAACGGACAGGTGGATGCGTGGAGAGAGCCAACATAAAAAGAAAGGAGCTGTGACGAGGCGAGAAGAAAATGAGAAGGTGAAGTAGATGTGGTTAAGCGTGTGGGTATAAATGTGCCGACACCAATGAAAAGGGCAGCGGTGGGGAATACAACTCGATATCCGTCATCCACAACGGGTGAACCCCACCATCTCACACCGGATCCATTGTGAGCCAAGCATTACCTTTCAGCTCATTATTATTCCTCCTTCTGTAACCTTCATTTTCTTTCTTCTTCCCTATCCACACTCCCCCCCTCCTTTTTTTCCCCCGTTTTACCTTCTGAATCGTATCATTTTAGTCCTGCTCCTCTGCGCTTTTACGTGTACCTACCTCACAACTGCGTTCGTGACATCGGGAACCCTTATTACCCCATTAGCGTGCTGTGCGGGGACATCTCGCCAATGCAGAACGCCCTCATGGTCGGTGTGAAGGAACCCAATCAGCCCACTCATGACATTGCCAGACAATTGTTTCATTTCTTCTGGCGCATCCGCATTAAAAGCGTCGGCAAACATGATGCGATCGCCGGGTTTGGCCCCTTCCGGTGGACGAACGAGGCGGAGTGTGTCTGTCTTGGATGCACAAAGCACCATGCCCTCTGAAGTAATGCCCTTAAGTGGCTTCGGTTTCATGTTGCATACGATGAGGCATAGGGACCCCTCCAATTCCTCCGCCTTGTAGTGTTCCACGAGACCAGAGACGATTGTCCGCTTCTCTGAACCAAGATCCATCTCTTCCACGTAGAGACGATCGGCGTCTGGGTGCCGCTCGACCTTGTTGAAGCGCCCAACACGAATGCTAAGCCGGTTAGGACCAAGTGCAGCGTCCGCATCCTCCGATTCGCTCTTCTTCTGTGCATTACCCTCTTGCGCCCCAGACGATGTCGCGGAAGTAGAACTCTTGGCTGTCTGCGCCAATTTTGCCTGCTTCTCCTTCTCCTTCTCCTGACGTCGGCGCAAAATTTCCTCCACTGACGGCCTTGCATACACCACTTTCTTTGCATTTGGCGCCTTGGCCGCCGCCAGCGCCTCTGCTCCAGATTTCGAAAGAATTGGGGCAAGGTACGCGTCGCTCTGCGCGTGGAGAGACCACGCCAACGTGGATGGCAGTGCCTCGGTTAACCCATTCGGGTAACCGTGAATAGCGGCATAGAGAAGAAAGTCTGCAACAGTCGCCCGTGGAGTTCCCGCCAGGAAACTCTGTTTTAGGCCAAAGCTTTCTACACAACGTTCAACCTCTGCAAAAACGTGTCTGGCAAGGGGCGTTGTTGTGCAGGAGATGGCCCGATCACTCACAACATCCGCTGAGAGAAGAAGCGCTGTGGAGACCCATTGATTGACCAACGGGCGTACTTCCGCCTCCACCCCGACAAATGCTTGTAGCTCAGCGTTTTGTGTGGTACTGCGAAGCACCGTAAGAAGAGGAAGAATGCCAACGTGGGTCATCAACCCGTCTTTTACAGCAAAGTGTTCGCCCTCTGCAATGACGTGATCGGCCGGGACGGAGAACATCTGAAGCAGACACTCTACCGCTTTGCGAAGGGGGGAATTCCCCTGAAGGATGTACTTGTGGCTCATGACTGTGTAGCGTCGCTTGATACACAACGAAGAAAAGAGCGATAACGACAACAAAAATCACAGAACAAAAAAAAAACATGACGAAGGGGTAAGACAAACATCAATGATAGTAATACATATATCCCCCATTTATGCGTGCAGTAAGTACACGGCGTGGGTATCAAAAATCCACATAGATGCTACGTAGGTGTACGTGTACGCATGTGTCTCCCTCTCCTCCGGCCCTCTCCTCTCTCCCTCTGTGTCTATTTTCGTTTCCCACCCACCCATATTTTATTACTTTTGTTTTTGCTTTTTGTTTTCGGTGGTGCTTCTGCTTCTGTGATTTCTTGTAAAATCGCGTGGCCCGCAATAACAACAACGCAAAGAACAAAAAAAAAAGGGTGTCAAACAAAAATACACAAAAAAAACACACACACGTTCCAAAACATGTCAAAGCACGACAGCGAGAGACCACGAAAATCGCCCCATAAATGTTGCAATAAAACGCGGTGCACGTAACACCGACTAAGCCAGCCGTCTGCCGCCTGGCACCAGATCGAGATTCCTGTCAGACGCTCTAGCAGTCTCGTGATGGCACAGATGCTGGATGCCCGCCGCTTGTGCTGTGGCGCGTATTCTTGTACGCCGCCACCTTCAGCCGCAGCCTGGCGATATCGTGCTTCAAGCCAGACTTAATGTTTTTCTGTTCCCACAGACTGAGCGTCGGGAGAGACGCAATGGCACTCCTCCCTGCCGTTGCTGACGAGGACGCCAAGTCAAGAAGCTCCGGTTTCACGATGTTCTTCCAGCGCAACTGGAGATCTAACGATTTCTCCCGCCCAATGAACAGCCTGTCCACAATTGTGTCACTGTCACTGAACAGTTCACGTTCTAGGCGCTGGAGGCGAATAATGGAGCCGTAGAGAGCGGCTGCGGCAGCGAGAGCTGTGACGCCGGCGGTGAGCATTGTCGTGCCGCTAATCCCGCCAACAGCAATGACCAATGCGGTCAAACCCAGCAAAGCGGAAGGTGCGAGAACGGCGATTGCTTGCTGCTGGCGATACTTCCAAACAATTGCGTTGCATACGCGCCCCGCAAGGAGGATCCGTCGTGCGCCCTCTTCGGTCTCTGTGATGAGGTTGTCGAGGCGGCGCAACGGGGCTTTCAGCAGCTCCTCCAACACCTCATTTCGTTCCCGCACAAACTCCTGCATCGCCACCACGGAGGCCCTCTCTTCCACCGAAGGCGCCGCTGCCGTCGATGATGTCTCCACTGTTGGAGCTGTTGTGATTGGAGTCCTCGACGACGACGAGGAGGTGGAGATTGCTACAGGGGTGGCCTCCAATTCCTCTGTTGCGGCAGTCTTTACTGGAATGAACGTGGTGTAGATACGCGGGATGTCTTTCATTGTCATGACCTTGCTAAGGTTCCAGCAGAGTGCCCCGTAAGACCTGCCAAAGTCTGTCGCCTTGTCAAACATGTCAACCTTGTTCATCACGAGCAGGAACTTGTGTTCAAAGCCGGCGAGGGACTTCGTCAGGACGTCCAGCGTCTCCCCAGTGGTGCCAGGGTTGGCGGGGTCAAACACAAGAAGAATGACGTCGCAGCGAGATGCAAACCATCGCGTGACCGCCAAAAAGTCATACCCACGCAGTTGCCCTTCCAACGACGTGCGGTCCTTCACGTGGATTGGGGTGTCAATCATGCCAGGCGTGTCCACAATCATCAACCCGTGTGGAACCCGCGACGTGGGCGTAAGCTGCCGCGTCTTAAGTTTGAAACGGTGCACAAAATGCATTCCAAACTTCTGCAAATCCTGCAGCTGGTACCGCGGGTCGCTAAGACTCGTAGGACCGTCCTCATCACTGTCCCTCTCTCCACGCTGAATGATGGTAAATCCATCATCTGTCGGTGCTACTCCCGTTCGTTGCACCGTGCGACCAAGAAGGTAATTGATAATTGTCGACTTGCCCGCGCTGTGGTTACCAAGCAGCATCACCATTGAGTGTCGATAGTCGGACGATGGCAAAAAGCTAAAGACATCGTTGTAGCGTCGCAAGGTGGTGCTCCTAAGCGCGGCAATGGCATCCTCAATCTCCTGCAGTGCTGTATCCGCTGTTTCCGTTGATTGCCACTTCCACGTTGTTTCATGCCTCTCCCCTTCCCGCAGGCCCGGTTCCCGCCAGTTTCGCCCAATCGTTGTAAACCACATGTTGGCTGCAGGCGCCAAGGAAAATCTGCGGGAGCTGTTGTACAACACCCGGGCGAATGCAGGCCCCTCCCCACATCGCAGGCGACGCTGCGCAGGGAAAAGCAACGGCATCGCCGGAGGCGACAGACTCCAAAACACGCGTGGCGTGTGCCAAAACCGGCGGAACCCCCTCTGCAGAGAGGCAGCACCCGCCCAGCAGCGCATTCCCCACAAGCTACACGAGACAACAAAAGCAATGAGAAAAAAAAAAAAACATGAAGGCTGCATTAACACTTGCGAGGCGGCAAGGCAAGTTAGAGGAGGAAATAGTAAGAACAATCAGTACAGTAATAATAGCACTAACAGTAATAATGACACTCCACGACACTATATATATATATATATATATATATATTAATAAAAAACAACAAACAAAAATAAAATTCTTCGGAACTGCAACGTTAGGCGATACCACCACCTCCAATCATACCTCCCGTGTTGCACGAATGACCACATGCGCGCGTGATCGCGAGTTGCGTGTGGCTCGCAGAGAAATCGAGAAATTCTACAATAGCGGCTCCGGTACAAATCGCAAACTAGCAAGACATGCCAAAATTCAAAACACAACTGCAGCAGTGAAACCTCAGCGATGGAAATGCCTGTCTTTCGCGCCCTCCCTTTATTCCTCTCGCGCAGTATTTCCTTATGGTACGCTGTTTCATGTACATATATGAATGCATCCATATGCGGGTAAGTAATCACATTAAAGGCAACTCAACCCAATCATGATGCTTTTCTTTTTGTCCTGTTTCCATTTCTCATTCCCCACACACACGTTTCATCGCTTTCGTGTCCCTACTTATCAGCTGGGTTATTATTCTTGATGTTATGTAACTAGACAACTCTCGCATGACAGCAGATGCCAGAAGGCCACCCAATACATAAACCCATACGGAAGGAGCAATGTATTATGAGTGTAATACGTGCAACACTGACTACAATCCAATACATCCACAGGCAGCAGCGCATATTACCCTCTCCCTCCCTCCCTCCCCACTCACTTACACAAGCCCCTCACCCCGTCCTGCACAACAGACTGCACACGGCAACGCAGCACATGAGGAGACGTGTATGCGGTTCGGTACTTGTGCACGCCCTCACATGCATGATGGTGTGCGGGTGCGCTCCAGCAGACAGTGGGAAGAACACACACACACACACACACAGAGGCAAACATATATATATATATATGGCAAGAAGCGTGCAACGAACGCATATGATTACAATGAAACAGCAGCAATAAAAGGCCAACAACAAAAAAAAAGTACGTAGCAACAATGGATAAAAAAGCGGAGAAAACAGACACACACACACACACGAAGGCACACACAGAACAAACATCAGGACACAAGGCAAGTGCAAAGACAAAAATTGAACAGGTGCGGGGAGACAGATAAAGCACCAATGAGACCTGAAAAGGGGAAGCCACTGATAAACGGAAAAAAAAAGGGAGCATTCCTTACAGACAATATGGCGAGAAAAGAATGACGGCAAGGAAGAATCGGCCACATTGGCCCAGCCCCTCATTCTCCTCCTGCATATACACCGCGCCCCCTCCTCCCTAGTTAGTTATATTCGCATAGAAAACAAAACAAAAAAAAACACACGTGCGGTGAGATGGAAAAAAAAAAAACATAAATGAAACATTCACAGACGTTTTATTGTTGTTGTTACTGTTTCGAATAAAAATAAAAAAGATAAAACCAACACACACCGGTCGTAAAGTAAAGCTCAGAAAACGTCAAAAGAAGAAGAAGAAGTATAATAATAATAATAATAATAATAATAATAAAACCCGCTTCCAATGCGCCTTCCCCTTCGTCTTAACATGCATGTCACATCTCCTCCTCACAGACTTTCCCTCCCTCCCCCTTTTCT